AGTCAGGAATGTAAGGGTTGATGGAATTAAGGTAAAAGTACGAGAATTGGTATGTTGGAACAGGTGTTACATGAGGTGGTTGAGTCTCTCAAGCCAGACTGTACTTTGGGGATGGGGCTGTGCCTGACTGGGGAATGTTTCCTCTAACTGCTATTGTAAAGCAGAAGGTGGTGATCCGATCCCTGTAAGCTTGCAGAGCCAACGGAGTAGCTCAGGGAGGGGCCCAGTCTCTGTGCTCTGGCCCTTGTGTAGACGATGTGAGCGCCCCCCAGCGACGACCACTGGGACTTTGGACTAGAGAATATTCTATTTGAGGGGTATTTACTACCTTGCTCCCCAACATAAACTGAAGTTACCCTGGTGAGGGAAGGACTTAAAATGATCTTGGCACCTGTTATACCCGTGTTGTCTTGGGTAATGTCAGAGAAACACTCTCATGGGGATGGCAGTGCCCAGAAGCGTGCCCTGATAAAATGAAAAATGGTTTATACAGGACCGTGCTGCCTGGGGAATGCAAAGAGACACCTCTGAGCACTGAGCCTCTTTCCCGGGGCTGGCTCTGGAACTGCATAAGATGCCGATGGATTCTGTTGTCCCTTGGACGGTGCCCCGTAAACAGCTCCCCCCTGACCAACAAAGAGCTGCTGGCTCTCTGTGGATGGCCGTTCTGAAGGGAACGGGCAACATCCTGTTCGGAAGGCCACCACTCTGATCAAAGAAGGTACAAACAAGTCAGTCTGGTGGGCTGAATTGCGAACTGTTTTTCCAGCTGTGAAGGAAGAATTGAACAGGGGTAAAAACCCTGATGTTTTGGTTTCTACTGACTCGCAGGCAGGAGGACAGTGGCGACCCGGCCTACTACAGAGGTGCCCATATGAGGCTCTGTCCCATGGAAATCACTGTGGGACTTTGCAGGGTGCATTAAAGAAAGTAGGGCATGTTGAAGCTGCTCAGAAGAACCCCCTTCCAGGTTTGGAAGGTGACTGGACTCAACAAGCAGATATCCCCATGTGCTCACCTAACATGTCCACAAAATGAGTGGACGTGGGGGCACCGATGGCCGAATCGACACATTCCTCTTGTGGCCTCAGGCGCACAATGCCAGTAGGAGCTGTTTTGTCTGCCAGCCAAAGAGACAGGCTGCAGGTGGGTCCCTACAGGAAGAGACGCCGACTCTGGGCTGGGCTTTGCTGACTGAGCCACAGGTGGATACAAATGCTCAGAGAGCCATAAAATAACGAGAACAGAGAAGAGGCCACAGCCAACCATTTCTTCAGACCAAGGACCACCGTTTACAGCCCGTAATGTCCAACAATGGGCAGAGAGAGATCCTCCTCAGAGACTAGTTTGGTAGAGCATTAGAAGAGGCGATTAAAACATTGGTTGTCTAAAACAGGAGGGGGTGTTTATAAAGTTTGGGAGGGCTGGCTTACAGCCTTCACAGGTGTGTGCTCACACTCACCGTGAACACGAGTGGGGTAAAGGAGCATCCTCTCTGCTTTTCCGGTGGATCTGGGGAAGAAGGCGTGGGGAAGGTGCCAGGATCCCCACATCACCTCATCTGCTTTTTTCCCTACCTGATGCAGTGGTCATATGGTCAGTGTCCGACCCAGCGAGGGCTCCAGAACAAGAAACTACAATTGCATTTTATTTTTTTTTAAAGATTTTATTTATTTATTTGACAGAGAGAGGCACAGCGAGAGAGGGAACACAAGCAGGGGGAGTGGGAGAGGGAGAAGCAGACTCCCCGCCGAGCAGGGAGCCCGATGCGGGGCTCGATCCCAGGACCCTGGGATCATGACCTGAGCCGAAGGCAGTCGCTCAACCGACTGAGCCACCCAGGCGTCCTACAGTTGCATTTTAAACCTTGTGTCAGAATTCCTACAGGCCTGACGGGGTGGGATGTGCCATCACCCCATCTGACAGAATTGGTGTTAACAGTAAAAGCAGCCATATTGGCTGGTGGTAAACATAGCCCCCTAGTTCTGCAGCTACACCCCTGTAACCTGACTTACCCTATGTGGACGGCAGTGGGCTGAGGGCAAGCACTTGCTAGACTGGTGCTCCTGCCCTCGATCTAGACCAGCACAGTGGCAGAACCCCACGTCCCGTCCAGAGGGGAGTTTGGGTGCAAATGGAGAAAAGGAAGAGTAGTAGCTACGGGGAAAGTAATGAATAAACGAGTTATGTCATAAGGGAAATCCAATATTCCATGAATACCTCCAAAGAGGCTCAGAGCAAGAGATGGATGTTGTCTTCTTAGCTCGATTGTACCGGACGTCCAAAAGGGTGAAGCCATACATGTACCAAGACCACTCCTGCTTTGCACCCTGACAAGATTGAGGAGAAGCCTGCAAACCCGAGTGGCCTCACCCTGAGAGACATTTTCATGCAATAGGATGATGGACTGGAATGATTACTAAGGACTGCGTGGGATACTAGTAATGTGCAGTACCTGAGGTGTATATCATTTTGCTGCAAGGGGTCCCGTGGCCAGAGACCAGGTGTATGTGTGTCTGCGTGTGTGTGTGTGAAATCATAGAAGAAAATACATATATTGGGCCTTAGCCCCTGGGTCCTGGCACAGAGCTCCTAAATCTCTTGTAATTTCCTAAGTGGTAAGAGCACTAGGAGCATCTTTTGTTCTAACATCTGCTCTTTGACCCCAGTTCCTGACACTGGGCTCCTAAATCCCTTGGAATTTCCTGGGTGATGGGAGTGTCTTTTGTTCTAGTGAGGTGACTCTTGGTGAGCTCCTGGAGAGCTCCTGGAGAGCTCCTGGACAGAGGCTAAAAGACCAACCCGTGATTAGAAGCTTGGAATTTTCAGCCCCATCTGCCATCACCCGGGGAGGGGATAGGAACCAGAGACTGAGTTATTAGTTGATCATGCTCATGTGATGAGCCTCCATAGAACTCCCCAAAGTTTGGGGTTTGGAGAGCTTCGGGGTTGGTAACATCTCCATGCTGGAGGGTGGCACCCCCAACTCCACAGGAATAGGCGCCCCTGTTCTCAAGACCCTCCCGGACCTTACCTGATGTATCTCTTTATCTGGCTGTTTATCTGTATCCTGTTATATCTTTCACTGCATAATAAACCGGTAAACTTGTTTCTCCGAGTTCTGTGAGCTGTTCTAGCATATAATGGAATGAGGGGAGAGGGGCTCACAGGAACCTCCCGTTTGTAGCCAAGCTGGGAAAAGTTGTGGGTAACCAAGGGACCTACTACTAGTGATTGGCATCTGAAGTGGGGAGCTGGGGAGAAGAGGGACTGAGCCCTTACCCTGTGGGGTCTGTGGTACCTCCAGTGAGTGCCAGAATCTAACTGAGCTGCAGGACACTCACCTGGTGTCCCAAATAATGCTTTGATCTGGGGAAAACCCAACACCTATCTGGTGTCAGAAGCCTCGTGAGTGCGGTTTGAGAATAAAGGAGAAGCTGGGAAGGTGAAGTGCAGGTTTTTATTACACATGGGGTTTATCACGGACTGCGCTGTGTTCTCACCCCACACTCCCCAACTGCTGTGTTGAAGTCCTAATCCCCAGGACCTCAGCCTGTGACTGCTTTTACAGGCAGGGCCTTTCCAGAGGCAGCAAAGGCAAAACGAGTCCGTGAGGGTGGCCTGACTGTGCCCTTACGGTTAGAGGAGATGTGGGTGCCCAGAGGCAGCAGGGGTGCGGGGCACAGAGGAAAGACCAGGTGAGGACGAGCCGGGGGCAGCCACCTGCAAACCCAGGGGAGGAATTGAAATGACAGGAAAAACCAACCTTGCCGGTACCTGGATCTTGGACTTCCAGCCTCCAGAAATAAACGTCTGTTGTTTCCGGCGCCCAGTCCGTGGTATTTTGTTAGCGCAGCTGGCTTGGACGCATACAGGATTTCAGTGTTTTAGTTTGTATCTCCAGCTCGCTAATCCTGCTCAGTATTTATTTTATCTAAAACGCAGGAGGCCCCATCGCTGCCCTGCTGCAGAGACAGAGCTGTTGGACTCGCACGCACCTCTCCCCTCGCCGGAAAGCCCCCCCCGCCTTCCTCCCGGTCCTTCTCCTGCCGCAAGGCCTCCTAGCACTGGGCTTCCCCGGCGGGGGTGAGGCGTGGCTCTACGGGTCCCCAAGTCTCTGCCGGATCCGCTCCGGCTCAGCCCCTCCTCCGTCCTGCGCATCCCGCCCCGGGCCGCTCCAGACTCTGCGCACCTGGCACCGGATCCTACACGTCTAGCACCTGCGGGAGGGGGCGCGGTCTCGGGGCGGCCGGGACCCCCGCCTGCGGACGCAGAGACCCGCGCGGCCCACGGGGCTCGGGGAATGAAGGCGGGGAGCCCGGGCAGCGGCACCGCGCACACCGGGGCGCCAGCAGAGCCGGGCGGGGAGGCGGCCCCGGACCCCGCGGCGAAGGGAAGCGTCCCAGCCTCCGGCTGCTGGCCGCGGGGTCTCCCGGAAGGGCGGGGGGAGGGGCGCCCCGGAGCCTCCCCTCACCCGCCGGGCTGCGCGCCGTGGAGAAAGCAGAAACGAGCCGGGCCGCGGAGAGTCCCAGCGGAGCCGGGTTCTGGGAAGAGAAACTTGCGGGCGCGGCCGGGGCATCGGAGGCGGGGACACTCGGCAGGGGTTCCTCGCCGCCCCCCACCGGCGCCGCCCGCGCTCTCCGAAGCCGGCTCCCCCCTGCTCGCTGGGCGTCCGAAGGCTGGGCCATTGACCTCGCCCGGCCGCCACCGCTCAACGGCTGCGGCAGTCCTGCCCCGCCCGGAGGGAGG